CATTCCAGACCAAATGTCAATGGATTTAGATTGAAAATTTAGATTTATATTAGATGCTAGGAAGAAATTCTTTGCTCACAGACTTGTGAGGTGCTGGAAATGTTGCCCTGGGAGGCTGTGAATGCCTCATCCCTGGAAGCATTCAAGGCCAGATTAGATGGTACTCTGAGCAACCTGATCTAGAGTGGCAGCCCTGCTCATGGCAGGGGCCTGGGACTAGATGAACTTTAAGGTCTCTTCCAGCCCAATCCAGTCTGTTGTGACAGCTGTGCTCCTCTGAGCTACATTTCAGATGCCCTTATGCTGACATGCAGCCAGATTACAGCAGAGAGTAACTAGAAAACACACAGATCCTGAGTTTGACAGGCATAAATTATCTCCTGAGCTCTTGCTTCAGCTAGCAATTCAGGCATACCTACAGAGGCAGTGTGTGGCTTTGGCCTGGTGATCACCTTAATATTATTTAACCATCTATAGCCACTCTACTTCTTAAGCATCATTTTGATGTGAATGGAATCATCAAACTAAATTAAACTCCCCAAATAACACATCCCAAAACCAGGGGATTCCTATAGGTTGTTCTCAGCCTTGCTGAGAGCTGGAATATGCAAGAAGGCTTTGATTAATTTAATCTCTTTTGTTGCTGATCTTTTATGTAAGCAAGCAAAAAATTCTCCAGTAAAAAGGGAACATTTTAACATCAACCTGGATCTCAAGATAAACAACACAGAACTTCAAATACAGATTAGAAACAGCTTACACAACACAGAGACACACCAGAGCTTTTAAGCATTACAATATTATTTTCCATTTAAGTAGCAAATACATCCCTAAGTTCTACATAAACAGGCCTAGTACAGAAATTACTTTATCCTTATTCAAGTGCAGCCATCCTTGGTGCATAGAAGTGCACAATAAAGTGGAATCAACAACAGTTAATATTACTTTTTTCTATTTACATCATGTCTTATAAAAGGAATATTTTCTTTTTCCTCCTTCAAAAAAAAATCTACATTTTTTGTAATTCAATGGACTGTTCTACTGTCTTGGTTCTTTTTTATTTCCAGTTGTTAATCAATTTTTTAACTTGTCCAGATAACTTTTATACCAATTTTATTACTATTAGCACAAATATTGCTTCAAAAATGAAAATACACTACTGGTAAATCTGTCTTGGTATGAAAATTGACCCTTGGTTTCTGAGGATGCAAATCACAGAATTACAGGAAATGTTTGGAAAATTGGACACAAAACATAATTTAACTTCAATTAACTTAAATTTAGTCCGACTGAAGTTCAATTTAACTTCAGAATCAGGGTGAGAAATCCTAGCTTTTCCTTAGCATTAATGAAGAAACATAGGCACTTTCAAACCATGCTTTGTCTCACCTACTTTAGATGCTTGCTCTGGGGGAGCACATATTGAATATTAGAGTCAGTCTTCACTGACTGTAAAAGGGATCCCTAAACCATGAGCAGAGAATTAGGTGGAATTAGATGTGTATGTGTAAACAGCTGAAACCCGCTTTGAAATATGGGTGAACTGACAGCCAGGGGTCCCAGCTCTGACACCCCTGAGTGCTGCCATGTGCCTTGTCCTGCACAGCCTCTGGGTGCTGCAGCTCAGGGTGAAGCATCTTCAGCCCAGACAAAAGCCAGCATTGCCCAGTGCCTGAACCACAGAGCCTCAACTTTGGAGTGCCTGTATCTCAGAGCAGGGTTTTGACAGACAATTCTGACAGATTTATCTGCATTGATCCAAGCTATTGCTCCCAACTCTCAGCAGAGATTACCCAGTACCAGGGATGGCAGCACTGGCCACAAAGTGATGCCACAGCTGTCTCAGTACTGGGCCATCGTGTCAGTTCAAAAACCTGTAAAAGCTGTTTTCTTCTACAGACTTTAAACTTGAGCTCTGGGACACTAGCACATGCCAGATCCTCCTCTAAGGCAGCAATTTCCAGTCAGCAAGCAAGGCACACATCTGGGACAGCCATGTTTTAAATCACAGCAGTTAAATCTGCCAGAGCTTGCCCACAGGAGTACTAAAGCACTGGTGTCATTTCCAGAGGTACCTGGGTTTTCTTTGGAAAGCTGCTGCGAAATTCTTGAGCTGACACAAAGTGGAGAAGTTCGCCCTTGGAGAAATTAATCATACAGTCTGGTTCTTGTATCCCTAATTTCCTTGCCTCCAATCAAGTCTCTCCTCCAGAGGCTTTCCTTCTTTTACAGTTTTTCTAACATGAAATGTTTCATTTTCCTTCCTCTCACCCTCACAGAAACTTCCCTTTGCAAACATCCCGTCAGCCTGGCTGGGGACCAGACAGACTTCTGCAAGTAAATGTTCCCTTCTGCAGGATGGCCAATTGACTTAGCAAGAGAGACTCTAAATTGAAACAAACAAAAAAACCTTGAAGAAAGCTTCAGACACATCTCAGTTGCATTCTGGCTACATCAGTAGCACCTGGATCTGTGCTCTTATTCATTGCAGATGTGGAGAAGCACCAAGATTTCCCAAGGAGCAGGACAAACATTGCATGA